TTTTTTTTTTAATAGATTTTAAGAAAACAAAAGAAGAGGTCTCTGCAAGATCAGCTAGTCAGGCCCAACCCTGATGCCTGTGGCCTCTCAGGTATCAGGGACACCTGCATTTGTCTGTGGATTTTTAATTTCATCAGAACACATAAATCCTGTGAGATTTAGCCTCTGAAGCTGTTTGTTTCTAGGTCACACTAGTCTTCAAGGAGCTGATGAAGATGTGGTAAAGCCTCAGTTTCCCATGCACTGTGCCAACGAGCACCGCCTCCACCCAGCCTAGGTGGCACACGCTCCCCATTGTGGCTCCTGCTGGTCTGGGCTGCTCACACAAAGAGTTTGTGCCTCAAGATCACAGCAAGGCCCCCAATTATGGGTTGTTCCACAGTCACCCTAAGTTAAATTGGGAAATTGAACAGGAGCTTGATGATCCCAGACCCCGGCTTCTATGATGGGGCTGTTCTCCTCACCTTCTCATGCCCTATGAAGCGCTTTCCACCCCCATCACCTTCCCCCCATCACTCTCAGACCTAGGCCCCCCAGAGCCCAGCACAAGGGGAAACCCAGTCAAATATATGTAGACTCTACTGTTCACTTGAGCTTCTTTTGGTGCCAAGCAATTCCTGAGGCATGTACATTTGCCAATGGCCCTGTAACTAAAGTAGGGAGTTATACCCATTACCGTGAAGCAATAGGAAGAGCAGCTAGAGTTCAAATGAACAACCTCCATCACCAAGACAAGTCGCCTTTTATTCTCAGATGTAGCACAGTCTCTCCATTGCTGTTCCTTTCCGTAGTTGTGTAGACACAAGAGGATAGTCAGGCACGCTATGAATTTGATACTTGTATTTTAACGTACTGAACACCGCCCCTCTCTGCCTGTCTGCTGTAATAACCCCACGAGGTAGGTTCTGCTAGCCATTTTTACAGAAGAGGCCCTCCAAAGGCATCCCGTTGGTAGATAAGGGAGTATCACTTGAACCCAAGCTGTCTAGAGCCCAAGTTTTTCCCACAATGCTGTGTCAAACAGCCCTTTACAAAAAGATCTGTGGCAGCTCTCCGACTGCAGACAGTTTCTCTCCAAGATCAGCTAGTCAGGCCCAACCTTGACACCTGTTATCTCTCAGGTATCACGGGCAACTGCATTTGTCTGTGGATTTTTAATGTCGTCAGAATGCATAAATCCTCAGATTCCCCAATGTTCTGAACAAAGAGAATAGAAACTCTCAACAGTTCACAACATCTTCCCCACTCCAGGGCAGATCTCAAAATTTCTCTCCAAAACAATTTGGAGGAAGTAAGAAGGAAGATTCTATCCCAGACCTGGAAATTTCCCTGCTTCCTCTTGCCATTCCTGAGTCAGGAATCACCTCAGAAGCTCACAGTTCCTCTTCCTTTTCGTGCAGGGATGCTGTTAGAGGGGCGGGATGAGTGTCAGGTTATTCTAGTCTCTGCTGCTCGGGATATGCCACCTCAGTCATGCCCAGAATGGACATTTTTGATGGGAGGGAACACAGGGTGATCAGTTTTGAGGTCAGACACTTTACCTGGTATAGCTTGCCAAATTTAGTCCCCATAATAATGTTTCAAATAAATAAATAAACAAAACAAAATTTGCTAGATCGCATAGCTAGGAATGGAGACTTCAAGTTTTACTGCTTTTCCACCACAGTACACTGTTTCTAGTGTTCAAGGCAGAAGTAGAACCAAGCCCTGGCCCGGGGTCTGCCTCTGCTGTGCAATGTGACCCCATTGTGCTCTGCTATCTCTAGTCTTTCTTCTTCCACTCTAGAATACTGAGGTGAGGCTCCCCTTAGTTATGAGATTCTATAGTTGTAGGGGACAGTTCAATAAAAGAAATATGCATTTCCATCCATGTTCAACCTGTGGGTGTTGTCATTCCCCCTGGGCTGTAATTCCCAGGCATTGATGATATCGGACACATTCACTGTATCATCTAGCACAGGAGCTGAGGAACATTCACTAGACAAACTGAATGAACAAATTGAATAAGGATGTTTTCCAATGACAGGACAGCCTAACCGACTCCTTCCACGTGGCGAGTGCCCATCCTACTATTAGCCAACCTGCATGCCTCAAGCCCTCTGTAGCCTCTGCGGGCTAACTTCCTGCTCTGGGGGGGCCACTCTCTCACTAAGGGCTTTGACATTTTCTGGTAGCACTAACCTCCCTAGTGAGAAATACTGCACCCACGTGCCACCAGAGCAGGTGGGTGGGCTGTGCCCCACCCATTTTATAGGCTGTGACAGCAAGGCATGGAGACGCTAGTTGACTGGTACAAGTGCCGGAGTGAGTCACAAGTTCTTCCCAAAGCTACCATTTGTCTCTTCAGATGCAAGTTTATAAAATCAGAGCCTTGTGGATTCATCAATAAACGTCCAGTAGACTCGCAGGGTATTAGAGCAAAAGAATGGTGGTTTTACAGAACCACTGATTTAGATTCAAAGCAACTCTAAAGTGGAGGGGCTAACACATGGCATGGGTCTGGTGGCTGCCACAGACAGGTCATTTGTGTCATCTGATCTATAGGGCTTCATAGGGAGATCTTCTGGTCTTTAAAAGCTCTCTGCATGGCCCTCCCTGGTGGCGCAGGGGTTTAAAGCGCAGCACTGCAAAACTGACCGCAGCTGCTTCAGTGCAACTTAGATCCCCGCCCCGGAGGTGATCCACAAGGCGTGGCAGACCTCTTCTGACCCACCCACTGCTCCCCTCAGCAGTGTACTTCCTTAGTCGGCCTGTTCTGCTCCCCACTCTGTCTCTGGTGAATCCTCTCACTGTACCTGCACCTCTGGCTTGTACCCTAGTTTTGTATGCATAAATAGAAAGAAATCTAAAAAAAAAAAAAAAGCTCTCTGTAGCCCCTCTGGTCAGCACAGCAGACCTGCCATGGGCATGGTCAGGGACTATATACTCAGTCACCTTCAAAATCCTCACAGCATCATCACCCATGGACTCTGACATGGAGTGCTTTCAGCAGTTGTATCCTTGAGTGTGTGAACCACACCAGGATTTGGACAGAGTGGCAACTCCATCCCCACAAGAAGCTCAGAGGGGGAAGCACTGTGTTGACATGTGGCCCCCTGAGAGCAGGATTTGGGTGACCTCTCACACTGAAAACTTCCCTTGATCAGGGGCTGGAGGCATTTGAGGTAAAATCTGATCTTTTCTTTCGTGTGGAAAGAAGTGGAGCAAATGAGACGCCACACACAGGAGACTGAGGACACAGCCACGGTGGTGTCCATGAGAAGTCTCTCCTTGTGTATAAGGCCAGAGACAGTGCAGAGGCCTGTCCAGGGGGCTCCTGTTTATGTGTCTCCATCTAGGCTTAGCTCTGAAACATACACCAGTGATTTCTGCACCTTTATTTCTGAGACAGCTGGCAGTTCCTTCTAGATTATCAGGAGATTAT